CCCCAAAACCCCAAAACCCCAAAACCCCAAAACCCCTCTTTGAACATTAAATTCTCTAGAAATCTCACTAATATTGGAATGCACTGAGATCGATTTAGGATTAATTAGTGTGTTAGAATTCAAATTCTTCGGATATTTTAAGCCTCTTAAATCCAATCTTAGTAGGAGTATTTGGCACGAGGATTTTATCCTTCCCATTTTGATCCCGATATCAGACGTTGGGGTTTAGCCCTTTTGGATTTGATTGGTGATTAAACTTAGAGTTAGAGTCATCCTCCCTTTGAAAAGAAGGTTTGTTAAGAGGTCACTTTTCAAATGATCTATGGGATTTCTTACTGCTACATCTTCAAGCAGACTTGTTCTCCTCTACAACTCTTGATAAAGCTGATTCTAATTCAGAAGAATCTATTTCATTTTTGTCAGGACTATTCTTCTTTATGGTCATTCTAGCTTTCTGTCTGGTGACTGAACCAAGAAAAGAATTTGATCCACATTTCTTTCTGATTGATTTCCTTTTTCTTTTATTTATTTTTCTCTCTTTGCTATTTGATACAGTTGAGAGTTCTAGACTAACTTCTGTTTCAGATGTTTTTGAGAGTGGCTCAATAGCTCAATGAACAGAGGAAGTTCTTTGAAGAGTACTCATTCTCTGCTTCTTAATCTTCTTCACTACTTGATTTTCTTGTGAGAACCTCTTATCCTTATGCTTATCAAACAGAGCTGAGCTACTAAACTCTCCATTCGCTTCATAAATCCCAGCGCTCATATGCTCAATTCACTCCAGACTTATCTCCGAGACATAAGACTTGTTTGCTCTTTTCTTCCTTACCGTCCTAATCAGCTCGCCATAATCCTGTTTGCTCTCCCTCAAAATCTTCCCTTGTCACTTGCCCACCTCCATCCTCCCACTAAAATCCCCAATATCTTCAGTCTGCACCATTACACTTGCAGTCTGCTCGCTCTCGCTCTTCCCAAAATCACTTTCCCACTGGCTATAAATCCCTACTAATCCTTCCACCTCTTCTTCAGCCTTGTCCCAAAATCCTGTCTCTACTGCAGCCAGAACCCTATATTTCAGCTTCTCAATTTCCTTCTTGAGGCTTCTAAATTCCTTCGTGGAAATTTCTGAATAGTCAAAACTTGAGATTTTTATGAAATTTAGAGTAAAATTCCATAAAATTTGGTAATTTTTATGTGATTTTTGAAGAATTTTTAGGGATTTTGAGTGGGTTTCTGCTTGGATTCGGAGGATTTTGCCTGTTTTTGTTAAGGGGATTTGGAATTTTTGGAGTAAAGTGAGGTAGATTAGGTATTTTTCTGAGAGGAATTTGGAAAGGGCTTGGGGGAGGGAGGAGTCAGGGTGTGTGAGAGAGGGATGGAGGGAGGTGAGGAGGGTACTGAGGAAGGAGTCTGTGGTGGAGGAGAGCAGGGAGTGTAGGAGTTGGTGCTGGTGGTTCATATTTAGGGGTAGTAATTTTAAAATTTGAAAAGACAAGTTTCGAATTACTTCGAAAATTTACTTCTGCAAGCCAATTTTGGACAATTATTTTCTGCGTTGAAAGATCTTGATCTCAAGGATTACGAAGAAATAGAAACTTTTATTAATAGGGGTTTTGGGGTTTTGGGGTTTTGGGG